TATATATATATATATATCTGTTCTCTCCGCTCTTACTGGGGATGGAGTGGTTATAGCTTGGTTGGGGTTTTTCACTCTCTTTGGGTTATCTGGTCGTTTATTCCCATACTATGAGTTTAGAGTCTTGTCTGTCCACTGCCAGTCCCTGGCATTAGGTGGGGTCTGGGACATTGAACGGTTTGGACTGATCCTTGTGGGGAAGCCGGTTGACTGACGTGGCTGTACAGCAGGTGGGATACAATCACTGTGCACGGTTGCATCTCAACTTGTAGTGCGGGTCTGCCTTGCTGCTTGTCCTGACCCTGCATGCTCCCTGTGCCTGCAGTCAGGTAGGGTGACGCTGGGGGGTCTCTGGTGCCTGGGCAAGGGTGGCTGGTGTGCCTTACTTGGCCTAGGGGGGTGGACTACCTGGGTTATGATTTCCTGGCACCATTGGTATGAGAGAACCATATGGATATTAGTGGCCTGCAACAGGCGACTGGGTGTGGGGTGGGCGCTTTGGTAGGTTAGTTCCCTGCTCTAGCCTTTGGGTGTGGCCATCCCTATGTCTGCCCACCTTGTGTCCCAGTTATCTGGGGTACAATTGGATATCTAAGGGCCAGGATCGCCTCTTTATCTGTCCTAGGCCCTGTAGGGCGAGTCTGGGGCCACCCACACCTGCTATTAAGCTTATTTTCCTTCTGAGTAAGCTTTCCTTCTGAATAAACTTTACATTGAGCATGCCCATACATACATACCATGTGAGTTTTGTTCCAGGTGTTGGAAGATACACACTAATACTGAATACTAAGCTGAAGTAACAAATATATACCACCCTGAATAATATTCTGTAATCATCACAGGTTTTGCCTTTGACACAGATTTGTATCTAAAGAATACCCATTACCTGCTGCTCTTAAAGCTTTTGTTGATGTTTACTTTGGTTTTCCGTTGTCTTCTTTTTGCTGTTCCCTGATTTCCTTTCATCTCATCTCATACAGGTATTGAAGCACACTTAGACAAATTGTGTTGTCCTTTAGTATACACAGAGAGTATACAAAATGAAATTTTGATGCGTAAGGCTTTCTGCAGTGAATAAGCGTCTTAAAACTGTGAAATGAACATAACAGTTTATATAGTGCATCTGTAATCAAGAATGCAGATAATGTAGGAAAAATGGAAAACCAGCTTAAAGTTATGGTGCAAAGGACATTGAAATGGAAAGGTTCAGTGCTGTGCAAAATGAATAAATAAATATTGCGCAAAATGCAGTGGAACATTGAGTTGTGTTCTATTTAAAGGGATTATGAAAAAAATCAGCCATGCTGGTAGTGCAAATATGATGTTTTCATGTGTGATGTAGACACCTGAGTTTCAACAGTTCAACGTTCTGATGGCAGCAGGAAAGAACCTGTTGCAGAACCTGCTGGACCTGCAGCAAATGCTGCCAAGCCTCTTCCCAGAGTGCAGCAGGGAGAACAGTCCATGGAGGGGTGTGAGGGGTCATTAATGATGTTACAGGTTTGGGACATGCAGCGCTGGGATGAAATGTCTTTAATGGAGGGAAGAGGAGCCCTGATGATCTTCTCTGCTGTCCTTGTTGTGCCTGTCTTGTTACATTCATCCAGTCGGAGGCTCTGCAGCCACCAAACAACACAGTGTCACATCTGGTACTGAGGGACAAAAAATAATTAAAATGAATAGATAAATAAATGAATAAAATAAATTGTCCTCTTGTGAATGTGTGTGTATGTGGGTATGCCTGTGTTACCCTGCCATGGACTGCCCAAAGACTGATGGAGAAAAGGACCAGACCCCTGTAGACCTCCAGACAGTCAGAAGAAGGAAGTGAAGTTTGCTTGAGAGTCAAACTTTTTAAGATACTTTATATTTTTATTTTATTGTTGTGAATAATGCTGAGCTATAATCTTCTTGATTGTTATCACTTTGTTAACTTTTTTTTCTGGAAACAATTGCAGATATCTCTGGGGACTGTAATGATCCAAAGTGATGTACTGGTTTCATCACTGCTTGTTCCAGTTGACAACAATTGCTGCTGTTTTTCAAATGAAGGTGATCATTATTGTGGTCCACTGTGAGCTGTTCCTTAACAAACACTTACCAACAGTTTCTGATGGTAATTAGTCCTTTGGGAGAAACACAGAGGTTCAGAATTAGATGTTAATTAGAGCGCATCGAATAACACTAATTACTAGAGGGTTATAGGGAAATTCCCCAAAGTCTAAGGGGACTCTTTTGTCTAAGTATGATAAACTTATTATAGAAATAAGTTGAACATTTAATGAGACAAGTAAGTTTTGTTTGACCCAATATGGTAGAGCAAGAGAAAGTTTACAATCTATTTTGCAAAATGCTTTCTGGACGGTTGGAGTTGGAGGCTGGCTTCTGTTGTGCAAATAAGTTTCAAAGTGCTGCTATTTCTATGGTGGCGATTTCTCCTGAATGGACAGTGGGCCAAAAGAGTGGGGGGTAACTGCTTCCCCTCTGGCTCAGTTATGCAGTTCTGCTGGAGACGGAAATAAATGTGTGATATGTGTTGGGAAGTGGAGTGTTAAAGAATAAACAAGTAGATGTCCACATTGTGAAAAATTATAACCAAAATCAGCAATCAGAACATCAGCGCAGAGGGGAGACAGATGTACACATGAACAGTGAGGGCAAGGTAGGACATGGCAATTCTCCTGCCTCTGGAGAGATTATGCCAAAAGGATGAGAGGCTGAATGGAAAAGCAGAGAAAAGACTGTTGAAATGAGGCCTGTTCCAGAATGAAGAGGACAATGCTGCAACACAGTGACCCTGGCCAAAAAATGATCTGGCATCTACCAAGGAAAACTGGGATGGTAAAGGATAGCCTACAACTGTGAACAAAGAGGCACAGGACTTCAACTGGTGGCATGAACACATTACAGACTTCTTTATCCCAGAGTGAAGCAGTTCAACAACCTGTGGTTAGGCAGAAATAACCCCAAAATCAACAGTAGACATTGGTTGCATAAATTTCATCGAATGCTGGAAAATCAAAAAGGAAGATGACTCTTGCTCATTACTCATATCCTTTAAATGGTTGCAAAAAGCAGCGGTCCCCAACCTTTTTATCACTGCAGACCGGTCAACGCTCACCAATTTTACCACAGACCAGGGGGCGTTGTTTATATTGCGAAAATAATAATGAACATGAATCCACTGTGTTCTCGTATGCAACCTTATTAGCAGCTTCCTAGTAACATTGCACTATCAACATTTATTTAACATAATCTCTGCCCCCTAGACAAAAATACAAGTTGGAAAATATATAAAGGGGAAAGAGCAATTTCACATTTCTTTCGCTATTATCTTATAAACAACATTTTTTCTATTATCAAACAGTCAGTTTGCTTGTGCTCTGAGAAGGATGCAAATACCTGGATGCAAGTACCCAGTTCAATCCCCACAGCCTGCACTCTGGGTCTATCAGCAAGACCCTTAACCCCGCACTGCTCCCTGGGCGTTACACAATGCAGTGGTACATTTGCAGTGAGATTAATAAAGTTAAATTTCAGGAGTGGCAGCCTAGTGGTTAGGGCGTTGCACTTGGAATCCAGAAGTTCTGAGGTCAAGCCACACTCACACAGACTGCCACTCTGGGTCCATGAGCAAGGCCCTTAACCCCACACTGCTCCCTAGTCTCACCACAATGGCAACCCACTGCTCCCCATGGGAAAGGGTTAAATGCAGTGATTTCATTTTGTTGCTCTGTTAAAAAAAAAGGAAACGCTCTCTGACCTTCATATCTTTTAAATTCTAAATTAATCTTATCCCTATTTATTTATTTATTTATTTATTTGTATTTAAAAACAAATCTAATCCCTATTTAACAAGGAAAACAGTTATCTTTGTTTGAGCTTCCATCTTTGTTCAAAGTCAAAGGTTTTCTGCAGTGACAGCTACTGAAAAAAAAGGAGTAGACTGGACATAGGTAACACACTTTGGGTGTTATTGCCTCCCAATGGCCCCAGATGGAACCATCTCGTTGCAGAAAAACAAGCTCAGGGTTCCCATTGATTTAGCATTATGGTGAGTTAAAATTCATGAACTTTTTATTACTTTTTGTAGCCGTACCTTTCTGTACCATGGAGCTCCGCATGGCGCTGAGTCCAGTGTAACAGAGGGGTAACAGGAAGAACTGAGTGTTCCTGGTATCAGCTATAGTTCTAGTACAGAATGAATCTAGACTGGATCAACATCTCTGGAGCATCAGGTGCTCTCCACCAGCCAGTTCAAAGCCACTTAGACATTTCTAGCAGATGTCTAAGGATGGGCCATCTCCAACTCCAAGCAGCTTTGACTTTTGACTTAGCCCGAGGCTTGCGTACAGAGATAGCTTCATCCTCCAGAATGTTCATTAATGCATAACTCATCTGTTGTCCGCATTTTCCAAAATTTCTCTGAAACTCTCCTCAATGATACATGAGCCTGGTCATTTAAATGTTGTGGTTATGCAAACTTAAGCAGAAGCTAAGTACTCAAAGTTTTAATTATTATATATACACTCATGTTATAGATTGAAATGTATTACTTAATTTTATTACTTTGTACTCATAAGTGTACTCATCATTTTCTGCTCATCTGGGACCAGGTTGAAGGTAGCCTCGTGAGACCATCCTGATCTTGCGAGCTTTCAAGTTTTCACTCGCTAATCAGTCTGGAGACTCTCCGTTAAAGAAAATTTGGAGCCGTTCACCAAACGAACGTCCAATCAGCGCTGGCTTCGAGGCGGGTTG